GTGTCACATCAAGAAATTTAAATTTCTGCAACAATTTATTTTAGCAAATTTATACCTACCGGCATTTATACCAAACTTGCGTATTATTTTACATTTGCATAACTAACTAAAATTGCTTTGTTTTAACAATGTTTTAACTAACTAAAATTGCTTTGTTTTAACAATGTTGCGTTCTTATTCCATTTCGTTTGTTTGTCTGATGATGATTTAATTATCGTGAATGCTTGAGGCAAATTTGCTGAAATGTTCTAGTATATAAAATTGAATATAAATAATCAATTTTCTAAACTTGGATAATTTTTTGGTGTTTTTAAGGAATGTTTTAACTGGACGGTCGAGTAGCATATAAAGAAAAGTCTGGTCGTCTAAAGTTTTATTCTATAACACGTAATAAAATGGTGGTTTTCAAAAAAAATTTTTGGAACGACTGTGTCTTTATCTTTATTTACAAACAATATATATATATATATATAATCACTTATAAAACAAAAACTTTCTCTCCAGCTGTACTGACGAAATAACCAGAATATTCTTTATTCGTGTCACATCAAATAATTTAAATTTCTGCAACAATTTATTTTAACAAATTTATACTTACCGGCATTTATAACAAACTTGCGTACTATTTTACATTTGCATGATAACTAACTAAAATTGCTTTGTTTTAATAATGTTAACTGAAATTTTTTGTTTATTTTATATTTATTTATTTACAGGAAATATTATTGAACGTTTACTTATTTTATAAATATAAATTTAAATATAATATTATGTAATTTTTCGAGATTTCAAGAAACTCACAGCTGAATATAAAGAAAATTCAAGTTTCTTTTATTATTTTTATCACTCAAACATTATAGAATACAATTACATATAAAAGTGAAAGGGTATTTAATTCAAGTGTTCAATACCTCTTTATGCTGTCGTATATTACTCAAATGTTGTAAAGTTCAAGAAATGGACATCATTCTTTAGGTTTTAAGACATTATTCTTTATCTTATTTATTTTCCTTTTGGGTTTCTTTTTTACTTTTAGTTTCATTTCGGGATTTTCTTGCTTCTCTCTTAAACGATGCTTTTTCGTAATTTTCCGTTTAGGTTTCCTTACTTTCCGTTTCATTTCAGGTTTTCCTTCCTTCTTTCTTAAAGGATACTTTTTCATTAATATCTCTATACTCGGTCTTTCGTGTTGATGACTTTGGAAACAACTTATGCCAATAACAATAATTAGTAAGAACGGTAGAGGTGTAAAGTAATTCCAAAAGCTATACATCTTCCATATAGTTTTACTTATACAAGATCCATTTCTGAAAAGTAATATACGTGATAAGTAACATTTTTACGCTACAAAATACTTAGCTTAAAATCGTCATGATAAGAATAAAAAAGTTTTCGAAAATTTATCAATTGTAATCAAACAACTGATTTAAATTGATAGATATACGGAGGCGCATCTAGAAATATGTCTTCCCTTGGCCCACAATAGGGAGGCATCCCCAAACTAATAGTTCTACTTTTGCACTGAATGATTCTATTTTACAATTTTAATTCTTCAATGGCTAAATTTTTACAGATTTTTGATATAAAAATCGTGGAAAACCGATTTGTTGTTTAGGATCTGATACAATAAAAAATACATTTTGTTATACAAATTTAATTAAATATGTTTATACAGGTTAAATCGAAGTAAAATTACAATGCGTGTAATGAAGGCTTATTAACACAATAATATTGCTACATAGCTTATATACTGTTTTTGTAGGACAAAAGGTGGGTATCCAGTAGCTCAAGAACGGAAGGAGCAATGAACAAAATTGAAAATTTATCAATACTACTACCACTGTGTTCATGTAGTGTACAATGTGACAATTTATTAAACCTATTTAACTGATAAGTCTTATTTTGGTCCTGCTTGCGATTTTGTTTTAAAATCGTGCCAAATTTGAACCTTCGAGTTTTTTTTTACAAATCTTCACATTTTAACACCTCCTGAACTCGAGAAAGTAAAAAACACTGACAATAATATTCTGTGTATATGTATGTGTGTGTTGCTGTCTATTTTGTTTAATATCTCAGAATGTAGTGAATATTAAGTAACGAAATTTGGCACTGCAGCTTGTGTATAAGAGGCATTGTTCGTCTTAAATTTTGGTGGTGAAAGGTCGAGAGGGTGGGGAGAGAGAGAGGTAGTGATGTAATATAACTCGAAAGGGGTAGGTAGGACTTTATGAAGAATTCTTTCGTTATTAATATTCGCACTTTTTAAACAAATCTCATCCCTATCCTAAAAATTTAAAAGTTTTTGTAATTTTATAGTAATTAAAAATATGAAAATTTTTTATACCAAAATCTCATAACAGACGACGCAACATAATTTTATTTATTTTGCTTATGCATATAAAAGTTATTTTTTAAAATAAAAACTCACAACAACCGGGAAAGTTACGCAACCTGATTTTTTAATTGTATGTAAGTTATATTTGTGGAGTTGAGGCTGGAAAATTAACTCCCGAACTATTTGTTTTCCGCGAAGAGTTTTATGGTTCCTGAACATTGCAGTGTATTTGTGAAGTTTTTAATATAGTAGAAAAATTTACACAGTTCATTAATATGATTCAATTTTATTCAAAATTTCTTTGTATAATGTAATTTATAAAATATAGATAATCTACAACGTCACCATTGAAGTGCGAATAAGTATACTTTCTCGTTAAAGTTCAATGTGACATAAACATTATTTAACTAATACATATTTAAAAATTATTTTAAGAATACCGAAAGCCATTAAGAATGGATGCAATCATTAATCCTCATTTAACTAATTTATTGTATGCGACTAAAGTGACTACAGTCGACCCCCCTATAAGATCATTGATTTTTCCGTTTTATCTGAATTACATGTTGTACGAGTCACTTAGATTTTACAAATATGTGAGCCATTCACAGTCCGGCACACGTATTTGTAAAATCTAAGTGACTCGTACAACATGTAATTCAGATAAAACGGAAAAATCAATGATCTTATAGGGGGGTCGACTGTATTCATCTCATTTTCAGACACTCTGTGCTTCCATATATATATACTTAGGTACATTTTTTAAATACGTTATGACCCATCGAGGGTCATAACGTATTTAAAAAATGAAAATTATCGTAAAACTATCACATATTTCAATTAATTACGAAATTATATCATTTCTCTACTTAGTAAAACTTACCTGAAACACATTCCGTATCCATTATCACAAGAAGTTCCTGGAATTTTTACATAAACTTCGTGTTTAGATGGAAAAAGTTGTAACTCTTTTGCGCTTCGACATGTATTCGTTTCATTCATACAACAAATATGACATTCCGAATGACGAGTCTTACATTGGCAAGGTTTCATACCGTGATCGAGACAGACGTTGCTTTTGCATTGTCCCTTGTGACAGGTTCGAGAATTTTGTCTGCAAGGCGTCCCGTCTGGTTGCATTAAACCGGAACAAAATGAAGAAATTCCATCGCAAAACGTAGTAACATTAAAGCATTCTATGTTACTGAAACATAGTTGCCTTTTGCTATATTCTATAATATCGCAATTGTCGTCACAGCATTGTCCTTTGCTAGGTGAACAAAGCATGCCATTTCTCAGTGTACACTGAGACGGGTATTCATTAATTCTGCAACAATTGTGAACAGCTGTGCAATTTTCTGTTGAAGAATCACAATCGCAAGATTCTCCTTCTTCTACGATTCCATTTCCGCAATTCGATAACTCTCTTCTCAACAGACACGTTTTTATTCCTAGTTAGAAAAATAACAATACAAAATTAAATTTATAGTGAATAAATATAAATAGATTTTAATTCATTTCATAAATAATATTAAACTGTAAAATATTTTTAAAATTTACTTGATTGCTTTACGAAGTTTTTNCATTAAAGCATTCTATGTTACTGAAACATGGTTGCCTTTTGCTATATTCTATAATATCGCAATTTTCGTCACAGCATTGTCCTTTGCTAGGTGAACAAAACATGCCATTTCTCAGTGTACACTGAGACGGATATTCATTAATTCTGCAACATTTGTGAACAGCTGTGCAATTTTCTGTTGAAGAATCACAATCGCAAGATTCTCCTTCTTCTACGATTCCATTTCCGCAATTCGATAACTCTCTTCT